ATTCATCACTGATTTTTATTTTTTTAAGGCATTTAACAGACAAAACATTCTTTCATTTAGATGCACTTACTTTGAACATATATTAAAATTGTATTTTCTTCAGATGCAATCTGTGTCTTAACAGAGAGAAATATATAAATATGACCACAAACAACATTTTATGGTTTTACTATAACACCAGATCTGTTTTACTTAATTGTAACTGATTGTAATCATTCCTCTGGCAACACAAGATACATTTCTTAGATTTTTGATTTATTAATGTGGGACAAAATCCACAGTCCTTGTTCTGTGCAAAAATACATTTCAAATTTATCAGAAGCTAATATGAGGCTTCAGCAGACTGAGTGACAGAAATCCGCTGTGTGACTTTTCAGTTTTAGTACAATTCTCTCTTTGTGTGTTTTTCTTGAGCTGCAGTTGACTGACAGTAACACAAAAAGGGATTTTTTTTCACACCTGAAAAAGACAAAGATCCACAGGCCCTGATCTGTGCAAAAGCTTTAGATTTAGCCATTTTGAGCCTTCATCTGTCTGAGTTAGCAAATTAAGCAAACGTCATCCAGAATAAGAGTATTTAGCAAAAAATAATCTCCTTCTTGTGCTAGTCTTCCTACACTGCAGCTCAAACAGGGACCAAAGAGAATAAATCTTTTACTATAAACAGTGAAACTCTGGAAATTGTTTCATCATTTGTCAATTCATAAGACTGCATGTTAGGGTCACATAAGGCTGACCCAGATCAAGGCCTGCAGATCTGGTCATTTGGAGTGAAAGTACATGACAGCACCTGTTAACTCTCAGTATGAACAATAATAATATAACAGCATGAAAAACCTGTTCAGTGTTCATGTGCACATCTGATCTTATGAACCTCTTTTTCAGACCTGCAGACACCCTGATTCACAGTTACATTATCAGACATTATATGTGAATCAAAATGAAATCACGAAGCAGACAGACTGTCCTGCACTTTCTCTCTGACACCAGGTCTGACTTTGTTAGTGCAGCAGAGGAACGTCTTTCCGATGTGGCCTCTGAGGCTCTGATCCCTGAAGCCGTAGATGAGCGGGCTGAGGAAGCGCGGGATCAGGATGAAGCAGAAGTAATTGAAAAAGGTGATGTCCTCTGGTAACCAGTTGACGTGCAGCACTATGAGCATCTCGATGATGGGGTGAGTGAACGCCAACATGCAGAGCAGCAGCTGGAAGCCGTGCAGCAGCACAGTGTGCATGGCTTTGCTCACCGACGCTCTGTCCTGCCTCAGCTTCCTGGTTTCTAGCAGGATTCTCACATAAGTGAAGAGGATGACAACAGACACTAGAGTGAACATGAGCACATACACAGCAGCTCTGAACAACGTCTGGACTGCAGATGAGTTTAAAGCAGAATTTTTGCAGAGCACAGGGGTGGAGAAGGCATCCACAGCAGGGTCTTTCTCCCCGATGGCAAAGTCTATGATGGGTAAAGAGCAGCTGATGAGCCACAGGGGCAGGATGATGATCCAGATGCGGTCGGAGCGCCAGGCGGCCGGCTGCTGCAGGGGGTAGAAGATGGCAACGTAACGCTCCAGTGACATAGTGGCCAGGATGAGGAGGGTGTTCTGGAAGGTGACAGTGGATATGAAGAGCAGAGGGACGCAGTAGATCAAAACCAGCTTCACCCGACCCATGACGAAGAGGAAGAGCAGCACCGAGGACAGGATCTGCAGGGTGTCGTTGATCAGCATGTAGGCAAACAGGATGTAACGCGAAGTGTCCAGGAACTGCCTGTGAGACGCAAAGATGTGCAGCATGATGGCGATGCAGCAGAGAAAGATGCAGAAGACGGGGATGACCACGCACACCTTGATGATTATAGACAGGGTTTTGTGGGAAGTTGCATTCACCGGGAGTTCAGTCAGATTCTGCATTTTAGAGCTGTAGACTGGAGCAAACCTGTGAAAGAAAAAGCATGACTTTAAGCTGCGTGTACACACATAAATAAAAAATAAAATCCCCCTAAAACCACATCTTATAGTTCACCTTAAATCTAGAATGAATTGCCTCTTGACAACTTGATAAACTGCCAGACAAAAACAAATCAATTCACATTTTCAAACAAACTGATCCACTGTCCTGATCACATCACTCACCAGAGAGATCCTCGGTCTGTCAGAAGAGCTCTGACTTCTCCTCTTCTTATCATGAAACATGTCTTCAGTGGATGTTCCTCCCCTTATCTCATGTGTTTGACCTCATGCCTAGGGCCCGATTCCTCCAGAGATACATTCATCATACATGCTATCATCAGGAACATTTTGTTTCAGGTTTTGGTGCATAGTAGCGCTTACCTTTCTAATATTATGGGATTCATGAAAAGAGGTGAAGTAGACAAAGCGAGTACACAATGTGAAACAGCCTGTTCTGATCAACGATGCTGCTACAATCCAGCATTTGAAAATCCTGCAAATCAACCTACTAAGCTCCAGCACAACACATTTTTGATTCTTCTTTTTGTTGACATTTAACAACCCTCCAATTTCAGGCTTTAAACTGACGGGCAGCTTTCTCCATTTCTTTAAAGTCGACGGTTGTTGCAGCTGAAAACATAAAAACGCATCATTTTTGTCTCTAATGGTAACCATGACAGAACGCCACCATCCAACTGTTGCATGCACGCCTGTCAAATAACTGAAAATCCACAATATATTCCCTGTTTTAACCTTTAGCAGTGAATATTATTGCAACTGACTAGAACTGACAGCATTATATACTGTACTATATTAATATCTCTCGATATATATTAACATCAATGGATGGCATACGAAGGTCTCGTGTAAATAAACACATTTCCTCATGAACTGTATGGCACAAGAGGTTGTTAACTGAGTGTGTTCACTCTATGCTGCTATATTCTCCGATTCTCAGGAGTTTCTTGCTTGTTTAGCAGCCAGCAACAGGAATTTATCATGTATTAGGCAACGATCACATTACACCAGTCTTTGCTGGGCTTTATTGACCACCAGTGAGCCTTAAAATAAATTTAAGATTTTATTACTTGTTTTTAAAGCTTCAAAGGATCTGGCTGCTGCCCTTACATAACTCCCTATGATCATCTGACAGGGCCTTGCTAGGGCCCAAATTCTGGGCTTGGATCTTTCCTGTTTAGGGCCTCTCGGCTGGGAACTTCCTGTTGAGGCTCTTAGGTGGACAAACGTAGTATCATATCTTAAATCTCTTCTTAAAACTTACTTTTGTTGATTGGCTTTATCTTACCAGATTTTAACTGTTGTTTTCATTGATATTACTTTATTTCATTTTCATCTTAAGCTCTGATTCATATGTCACGGTTTTTGATTTTTTGAAGTTCTGTTTCCTGTTTTATTTTGCAAAGATCTCCGTACTTGTGCATCTCTACTTATTTTATTTCGTCCCTTTGTCTCTGTTTCCCTCCTCTGTGATCTTCCTCATTGGTTTCGCCTGTGTCTTCTGTGTCTTGTCTATCCAAATTGTTTCTTCTGGATGCATAATCCTGCGTCTTCCAGTGTCTTTTATCAGCTTGTCCTGTTCCTGGCCAAATTTCCTCCAACAAAAATACGCTTTCTTTGTTGAATTGGAAACATTCTGAGATTTTGTCTGTAGAGTTTTTAAAAACAAAAAAGGCTTTACTTATATATGATGGAATTTAATTTAATTTCCATTTATTGTCTTTCTCATTTCTGTATTATGTATTATTTTACTCTTTGCAGCTTGAGTTCTGTTTGTATTTTTGTATTTTGTAACATTATGGATACACAAAGAATTAAAAATACATATAATTAAGTGCACTGGAAGAATTCCAATTTTAACTGACCCTAAACCAGTGCATTAATAATTTTCTGCCCAACTGCTTTATTTTTTAAAATTCTACCTGTTCAAAAGCAGCCCAGTTTGTTTCAGCCTGGCTGCATGTTAAAAACCCTCTCATGTAATAATGCTACAGCACATGTGGACACACTGAACTGGACTCTGAAGGCCACTGCTCTGGTTACAGCTTCAGGACAACAGAAATGCCTCCAGCACAGGACAGACAACCGCAGATGCCCCCGTAGGTTTGCTGATGCAGGGACTCAGTTGAGCCTCGTCCAGCTGGAAGTGGAGCGTTCGTATCGATTGGTGGCACGACGCTGATTCTGCTGAATCGGCGGTTGCAGGCAAGCTGGGTCAGTTGTTCCAGTTATGTCTCGCATGAAGCAGTTAGTGAGCTGTTAAGCAACAGGATTTGACGTCACTCAACCATTTTTACCTCAGTTAGTATGATTGCAGAAGTCAGTGTGGAGAGTTTGCGGATGTCTGCAGGGTTACATCACTGCAGGGTTATTAAAGGAGGTCCTGGGTACAGGGCCAACTGAAAAATGCACCTCCATAAAACGCTGTATTCAGTCGATATTGATCATTATTGATAATTATTAATAAAAACTGGTTTAATGTGAATTTAGCCATCTTTTCCAATTTATAAATTAGACAGGCAATAATTTTAATGTTAACACAACAATGAAAAATGCACACATTTCCACTCACAAATAGAAATACATAAGGATAAAGTTCATAATAATTGTCTCACTTTGATAAAAAATTAAGTAAAGAAAGCAAATAAAATCTGTAGAACCCATAATATTACACAGAGAGAAACTAGGACAACGCTTCTGCAGGTTAAGAGGTTAAGATTGCTAGTTTTAGAGGATCTGCTTGTATATGGCTGATGAACATATCATGTTCTTCAGTAGGTCTGAAACACCGACTGACTTAGGTCTGGTGTAGGTCTGACTTAATAAAATCAGTCTAAGTCTAACAGTTCCTCAGCTCACCCGAGTACCTTGATTCCTAGAAATTATCAGTGCAAATTATCTGGAGCTAAGCTTTGATGTAACTATATACAGCTTCACTTCTGGCACTGACAGAAATCCAAAAGTGTCCAAGTTTTTTGATTATTTCAGTCTGAAAAAGAACAAACTGTGTTGAGTGTCAACCAGCATGTCAACACTTCAGCTGATCAACAGAAAACATCTAGTGCACAGAGCGGATCTGAAGATAACTTTAAAACGAGTATTGAACACATATGATAATATAATTGCTTACTGGCTTGTAAAGTGCAGAGTAGATACAGATTCTGTTTGCAACACAGTCTGTACATAAAGACACCCATTGGTTTTCTTAGCAGTGGTTTTGAAGCTCCAGCTAGTTCCTGACTCCTCGAAAGGTAAATGAGTAAAGAATGGAGCATGAATGAGGCTGAGACGGGCACCTGGACTTTCTGATAACGGTGCCTACTCATCACTGCAAGTTACCACACCCTTAATTATGCATTACTTTAAGTCAAACGGGTAATTTAGCAACGGACACCAAAGTCGTTTTTTGTTCTGGTCCGTAAACATGTTTATTTCTGCTGTAAAGTTGGACATTTTTAACACGGAGGTCTATGAGCATTGGCTCTTTTTTGAAGACAGCCTCAAGTGGCCATTTGAGGAACTGCATTTTTTAACAAAGTTGTTTTGACCTCCTTTCTAAGCCCTGAGTGTTGCTGCTGAGTCAGCAACAAAAATAAAATTACTGACAGCTAAGCTGTGAGATGAAACTGCATTAGGTGTGATGTTATTTAGCTGTGTTGAGCTTCGTCAGCTGCCTGACCGACTGAAGCTGATTTAATTAACAGTACAAATGTAAGACAGGTTTGTCTGACACACCGCTGAACTCTTCTCTATATTTATGATTGCTATTTAACAAAGCATAACAATTGCCAAAATAGTGGATGGCTGCAGCTCCAATTTTTAGTCTGTAAAAAGATTTAACTTACCCAGAATTCCCTGCACTTTAGACTTATGTCTCTTAGTTTGATCTAAGCCGCTGTCAGTGTCTCCCATAACTGGGCCCAATAAGAGTGCCCTTTCTAAACAATTCGGTTTTGAGGAGATGGTTTGTTCAAAAGTACTTTTTGCAGATTGTTTATAAATACATGGATATTATGGACTGTTGGTAACTGTAAAGATGAAGTTCAGGCTTGCAGACATGACAGGATAAAGGTTAAAGTCAGGGTCAAAGGACGCTGTACTTGATATATCTGAGGTCTGGTTTGGTGGAACATTTGCTATCAGAGAGAGAAAGGTGGTAAACATTTCACTCAAGGATTAGAAAGGTACATTTCAGGACTGTGCTTTGAGTTGTGCCTATTTTACCAATGCTATTTGTAAGTTTCTCTGGATTAGAGAGAGAAGAAAATGTGCGAAATGCAACAGGAATATGAAAACTATGAAATTTTATTTTACTTTTTTAGATCATAACTGGGTAAAACAAAAGTCTGCTAGTTTGTGTTTTAACTGAAAGCTTCGGGTTAGAATTAAAATAAACAGGGAAAAAAGTAATGAATACAGTTTGTCATACAGTAAATACTACAACTGTGAATTTCAGCTTTGTGTTTAAATGTTTGTGGACAGCAATGCCAAAAGCAAACAGACAAAACAATATTGATCAGACACAAACCAGATGGGGCTTTTCACGTACGGCATTGTTTTTTTGATAAGGTTCCAGCGTCAAACTTGTACACAAAGTTACTGACATCTGTAATCACGGTTAAAAGTTGCAGGTGTAACATCAGTATTGTTTTTAAAGAAGATGATGAAATCCGCTAGAGCTGTTTTTGCAGTTTAAATGAGCAGCACTAGAGAGCAGCCGCTGTGTCCCCTGCTTAGCAATTACCAGACGAGCTGATTATTAACGCAAAGCTCCTGAGTCCAATTGTGAAACCTGAAGTTTTCATTTGTTTGCCAAACAAGTTGACTCAGTTGAGAGCAGCTCGGGGGGCTCGTCAGCTCTTTACGCAAATCCTGCGTCAGCAATCAGGACCGTCGGGGGGCTGAACCAAAAAACTGTCCAAAACAAACTTTCTGCCTCTGAACTCCAGCGGACACCGCCTCAGTAAATAACTCATTTGGAGGCTTTCAGACAGATTAACGCTGCTGGCAAAAACATTTGGCAGCGACAGTTTTAGTAAAATATTAAATGACACAGAGACGAGACGAATACAAGTGATTTTCTGTACAATAAAGAATACAAGCTAATAAGATGGGTTTCATAAGGGTACAGTGTGGCCTCAAATGTATGATGGTCCAACATCTGATTCTGAGAAATTAAGAATAAAAAGCATCAACATTCATCATGTTGTAAAAGTTTCCCTAAGACACCCCCAACTAAGGTTGTTAAATTAATCTGACTGACGGTATCAGTTTTCCACTCTCTGAATATGAAAAAAAAAAGTAATCATTTTCTATGGAGCGTAACTTTTTATTCCTTCGATAACTGATTCATGTTTTTGCACTTGAAGCTCACTTTCTCCATCAGGAACACACACAGTCACAGTGTTGTTTTGGATTGAAACCCAAGATTCTGTTGTGAAAACGGAAACAACCAGCTATCCATTATCCATCCATCCATCCATTATCAACAACGCTTAATCCTCACTAGGGTCGTGGGGGGCTGGAGTCTATTCCAACTGACTTAAGGCGAAGTCAGGGGACACCCTGGACAGGTCACCAGTCTATCACGGGGCTACACTTAGAGACAGACAACCAAGCACATTCACATTCACACCTATGGACAATTTAGAATCACCAGTTAACCTCAACATGTTTTTGGACTTGTGGGAGGAAGCTGGAGAACCTGTAGAGCACCCACACTGCATGCAAACTACATGCAGAAAGATCCCAGGCGTCCTAACTGGGACGCAAACTGAGGGTTTTCTGGCTGTGAAGTGACGGTGCTAACCACCGAGCTACCGTGCATCATGAAACACAAACATTGTAGTTCATAAATTTCACCAACTTTTGCCTGACACATTTGCTATCTACATTTCAGATCTGCAATTAAAGTGTTTTTCTTTTTTAAATTAGTTTCGCTTTATGGACTTGAACAGATTTGGAAGGCCCACAATAACTCACTATAAGTAACCAGCCACTGCTTCTTAAGTGATTTATCCAAAGAGTGCAGAGCTGTTGTCTCCCCCTTCTGGCACCAAGGGTAACTGCACAGACAATGTTCACGCTTTCTGGGTTTTTGGTCCGACTTGCTGCTGTCTCTACTTAATATGCAACCACAGCTGTAGACTAGTTCGTCTCTACGGTTGCTCACGTCTTCAATTACAACAAACCAGTCAATGCTGCTTGGCGTAAACATCACGCCTGTGGCAATGTCGCCACAGAACCCAGATTTAACAGGCTGACGTTTATTGTGAACTGCAGAGAGATTTACTTCATCAGCATTGTATAAACTTCTAAATGGACTTTCATTTATATAAAAAGTTCACAGTCAAAATGTGCAAACAGGCCTCAGTACAAGAAGTACCTGAGATAAACTTTGCATGTTTTCACATGTGGCCCAAAAGATTTAGATTAAACTATGACTGAAAACCCATTTTGTGCTCTAAATTCCTCCAATATGTTTATGTCATGAACTTAAAGCGTTCCTCCTCCCCATGCACGTACACACACAATAGGACAAGCAGGACAGAGACAAAAGTGTTGGTTTAGCAAACAACACATCAGGTTCTGTAACCTGCACGTATCTGTGGTGCTCAGCAGATAAAGCCAAATACGCACATTTGCAGGCAGAGTCAATAGATCAATGCCTCTTACGTAATGAAGCGGTGCTGAGGCCTTATAAATACCCACAGGACGGGACAGTTGGTATCTAGTTGTTGAACAGACTCGAAGCTTTTAAAAAGCGATCAGGATCATCTCGTAGAGTTTCCAAAAAGACTACAACAGTGAGTTAACGGCTCACAGAAAGTCTGCAGTCACAGACTATTGTTACAGATCATATTAAACAGGCTCGGTTGGTGCAGCAGATCTAAACAATCTGACAAAATGCAAGCCGTTCGTCAGTGTTCAGCGTGTGCCAGAAGTGCTGCTGGAGGACTTGTAAGGAATCAGACCACCGACGTTTCACTGCTGCAGACCAGCAGGAGCGTGATGAGGAGAGGAGCTGCATGCGTCCGCTTTCTCAGGTAGGTGATGAACAACATGTAACGCCATGAAACACAACTTCTGCTGCTTATTGTGACTTACTTGACTTTTCAAAGTGACAAAGTGCTCATATGGTGTCCTGATTTTCCTACAGCAGCTCTGACAGCAGGAAGCCTGGAGTCCAGACGTTGGGCGGACTGACTTCACACATGAGCATAGCGCCTTTAAGTATTGACAGCAGGCTTCGTGCTTTCTCTTTCACACAGGTTAGTGAGAAACAATATGACACAGTGCATGGACTCACAGAAAACATTTGTTCTTGTTCTATTTTGTACTTGCAGAAATTGAAAGAAGGAAATAAATAACAGATTTTTTTCCCCCCTTGTTTGCAGCAAGTGGAAAACCTCTCACACGACTCGCTGATCAAAAGAGCTGCTTCAGTGGTTACAGACAGCTCGAGTACTTTCCTCTCCCAGACCACCTTGGCTCTCATCGACGCCCTTACAGACTACTCAAAGGTATTTTGAGATACTAAACTGAAGTATTACACTACAGTCACGACTACGATGATGAAAATGAGTCCAGAAGACGTTTCCACACATGCAAATCTTTGGGTTTGAGTCACAGGAGAAAGTTAAAAATCAGTTCTAAACACAATAAAGAATAGTCGCACTTTTCATTAGCAGTCTCTCCTGTACTGTCCCTGACTGTGCGTCCTCCCTCTGTTTGCTAACAGGCTGTGCACTCTCGCATTGCTTTCCAAAGACGGTATTTGGCCTCAGTGGGAAAACTGAGTCCAGCGGAGGAGGATTCACTCCAGCAGGTGATCAGCAGCTGGCGAGCAGAGGTGAGTGTCTGATTTCATCTTACCTAAATCCATTTACAGCTTCATGAAAATGAGCTTTTTCTTTTTGCAAAAAACAAGAAAAAGCTACATTTATTATAATAAGGTTAACTTTTTGTCCTGACAGGCTATTGAGAGACTAGACGAATGCAAACGCTACGAGTCCACCTGGAACAATGCTGTCAGCCTGTGTGAAATGGCAGCTGAGGCAGCGTACGCTTCAGGTGGGTAAAATGTGAATTTATTTTCTTGTAGCTGTATTTGTAATGATGGGAGAGTCAAACAATTACATTCTTATTTATTTGCTGTCTCTGTCTACATTCTGGAAGATCTGATACACTTGTGTACAATAGTTTTACAGTCGTAGGTGAACTGGTGTGCTTGAGCTGCAGCAAGTTTGTACATCTATGCCCTCTAGAGGAAACAATGGGGTAGAGTTACATCTAAGCCATTTACAGGCAGGAAATATGTAATGCTTATACACAAAGATAAGTTTCAGGGTTTTGTGTGTCATAATGACATCCTCGAACCTGTTTCAGAAATGTAACATAATGTGTGTTTACATCTGTGTCTCCAGGAGCCCAGCAGGCTTCCATCTCGATGAGGACGAATGTTCAGGTGGCCCAGTCGCAGGTGGACGAGGCCCGCAAACTGTCGGCGGATGCAGATAAAAAGCTGGCCGAGACGAAAGTAGAAGAAATCCAGAGGATGGCTGAATATACGGCCCTGAAGAGCACCGAAGAGCACGAGGTGCACGAGGCTTATCTACGAGAGGACTAAGACATGGAGAGATGTTGGAAAACGAAGGAAAAAAAAAAACATGTCAAAGTGCTGTTGATTTCATAGTGATGTGGATTCACCTTCAATAACTTTGATCGTTCTGCAATGTTTGATGTCTGTAAGATATTTATATATTTGCGTTTACACCTCGTAAATCTGACTTTGAAAAGAAAATCAACCAAATAGCAATTTGGAATTATTTACTGTTGCATTGGTCATTATTTAAGACTATTTATTTGATTAGTCAACCTCAGCAGAATTATGGAATTTATAGTGTGTGTTGTGTGACAGTGGGACTTCACCACCGGAGATCACAATGTATGTTTTGTTGTAACATAGACATTGTTTTTTGTTAAACTATTCTATCGATTAATGGTTTTCAGAGTTAATAAGAAAACAATAAAGAAATCTATTTGTTTTAATATACAGTTTGCTCTGTGGTTCTGTTTGCTGCCTTATCACACAAATTACTGTGATATTTGACTTCTGAATTACAACTAGTTCAATTTTTTAGGATTTTGATGATGGATGAGTGCTTGATTTGATGGTGTGTAGCAATCACAAAATAATCCATCCATCCAT